GCCCAATTCCTCCTCACGGTGGCCACCCGCCTCCATTCCCGGCTGGACGTCAGCCAAGGATAACTAAAGCTAGTTCAGCGACAGTGAGTGGCGGTGAGTTCTATTTTAACGTTGCTACAAGGCATACTAAAATGTAACACAAATCCCTTATCCCAATGGAAGCTGTTCCGAATTCCTTCTCACTTGAAGCGGTTCCGCGGCCGATTAGCAACCAGAGGTCGGCAAATCCGGTGGGTCCTGCGGGTCCGTAACACAGTACCCGCAGCCGAAATTCGGCTTAAGGCCCCGGCTGCGGGACCCAAATGACCAAAATTCGACCGAAAGACGTGATTGAAGCCTCTATTGCAGCCCGTAGGGCCGCGCGCTGGACTCGAACTCTGTGTTTGACTTTGTAAAAGAATGTCACGACCACCTCTACACAATTCGGTGACGGTTATCACTGATACATTATTACATTTCTAGCGTCTGTACCGATGACTTGCAGCTGCCGCAGCACTTGACTTGGTCAATTGTGGACTTTGGCATACCAGATATTGGTCCCATGTGGCCTATCCTATGCATAATCTTCATCATATTGCTTGTATTTTCAGCATACTTTTAACTGCTGACCGCGGCATCTCGCCGGGGAACGAAGGAAACGCGTGCAGAAATTTCCAGCGGTCGACAACGCACGTTGGCCGGCATGCTGACCGGTCGTAAAGCCACTGCTGATCCCCCAGCAACATATATTGAGGCGGAAGAGCCGTTACTTGGGCCATCGGGCAGCGCCAGTGAAGCTCTCCAGGTCTACTTTTCCCAGCACCACCACCTCCCACCTCCGGAAACGCCAGCACCGTGGCCCTTCCTCCACAGAAGAAAAGGCACACTCAAGCCAACACTGCCTCCACCGGTCCCAGTCAGCAGCCAGCACCTCTCCTGCCCACCACCCCCAACACCACCGCTACGAACAGCAGCCGGCAACACTCCTGCCCCCCGCCACCCCCAATGCCACCGCCAACCTGCAACGGAAGCGCACCAAGTCCACCAATAAGATCGATGCCGTTGGTGTCCCCCCGGGGTTTGAGCGGCCTCGTAATCCCAACGAGGACATTATTTGGCTGACTGACACTTGTGGTGGTGATTTCAAGAGCTGGGCCTATGCACTTCAGGGCTCGACGACGGTCATCTGTTTTTTTGCGACACACATAAGGAGAGTAACGCCACCATTTCCCGCACGAACTGGGATTGCTCAGCTTACACCCGGCACGAGGCCTCCTACTCCCACAAAGCGGCTGTAGTCCAGTACACGCAGGATCAGCAGCAACAGCAAACTGACAAGCACCTGGCCATGACCGAGGTTGCCGACAATCCCTTGTTGGCTCTGTTTTGTGGCGCATACATGGTCCTGTACCAAGCCATGCCTTTCACTCACTTCCCAACGATCTGTGAATACATGGACTGGCTTAAAGTACCAAACATCACCGGCTTAAGTTCAACGAAGGTCTTTTTGTGAAGCTGAGTATGTCGGGTCCTTGAAGAAGGAGGATGCAATGTTGAAGGGGGCGATGGCCAAGTACAAGTCCTCCACTAGGATGCACCTTACACGCATATCACCGATAAGGTCGAGAATATCCTTCACGCCCCGCGCTTCAACCGCATGCGGTCGGCGATGAATAGCTCGGGGGCGATGCTAACTTCATGGCGCAAGAACTTGCTTGGCAACGAACCCTTGCCCCCCCTGCAATGTGTACGGAACGTGGAGCCCTGAAATGCTGTCTCTTTTGGCGCCGGAAGGCGCCAAAATTTTTTTAGGTTTATTGACCGAAATTATGCCCTCCCGCAG